GGGGGGGGGGCGAATCCTACTTGGACCGGGAGTCCAAGTAGGACTCCCCCCTTGGCGTGCCCCCTCTAGGGCTGGCCTCCTCCTCCTCCCTCTTTTATATACGGGGGCAGGGGCACCCTAGAACACACCAAGTTTTTCCTTAGCCGTGTGCGGTGCCCCCCTCCATAGTTACACACCTCGATCATATCGTTGTAGTGCTTAGGCGAAGCCCTGGGCTGGTAACATCATCATTACCGTCGCCACGCCGTCGTGCTGAGGGAACTCACCCTCGTCCTCAACTGGATCAAGAGCATGAGGGATGTCATCGAGCTGAACGTGTGCTGAACGCGGAGGTGCCGTACGTTTGGTACTTGGATCGGTTGGATCGCGAAGACGTTCGACTACATCAACCACATTAACTAAAAGCTTCCGCTTTCGGTCTACGAGGGTACGTGGACACACTCTCCCCTCTCGTTGCTATGCATCTCCTAGATAGATCTTGCGTGATCATAGAATTTTTTTTGAAATTACTAAGTTCCCCAACAGATACTAGCATGAGTAGGATATGAACACAATGAACATAAATATCATAAAGGCTATGTTGGTTTTGATCAACTACATGCATGAACATGTGCCAAGTCAAGCCACTCGAACATTCAGAGGAGGATACCATATCGTCATACTACATCACAATCATTTTAATGCAATGTTGACATCCAAGATAAATCATTATCCACTCCTAACTACTTATGCATGGCATGAGAAACTGTAATCTCTAACTTTCATTGCAAACATGTTTGATCATAATAGGCTGAATCATGGATACTAAGTTAAACATATTTAGAAAAACAGAACAAGTCGAGTTCATACCCGTTTCTCTCTACCATAGCCAGTTCATCAAATATCTTCATTATTGCCTTTCACTTGCACAACCGAACGACGTGAAAATAATAATAGTGCAAGAATGTCGTGATATAAGCTGGGATATGCAAATATTTTATTCAAAAGGAGAAGACAAGGTAATATGGGCTTTTCATTAGATCAACAATAATGCATCTGAGAGCCGCTCAACATTTTCATCGTGGTCTTCTCCTCGGTATGACTCAATAGAAGGGAAAAGAAATTCAGAGAAACACAATGAAATATTTTTGGAGTTTTTGGTTTTTCTTGAAGGAGCAAATAAAAGGGAAAAACAAAAAACAAGAAAAACTATTTATACGGGAAAGCTCCCAACAAGCAAAAGAAGAGCAAGGAAATCTTTTTGCGTTTTCTTTTTAGTACTACAACAATTTAAATTAGGAAGAAAAATAGAAAAGAAGCAGGAAATATTTTTGTATTTTCTCAAGGTTTTTCAAACACACTAGAAGAAGGCGAGAAAATAAATCTAGCATGGGTAATACAATGAAAAAGTGTGGACACCGACAAATGGAATGAAATGTGTGAACATGAAAGTAATGTCAGTGGAAATACGTACTCCCTCAAGCTTAGGCTTTTGGCCTAACTTGGTAATCCGTTAGTGACCTGCATAATGGTCGAGTGATAGCTCACGGAGGCTCTTGGTGCGAATGCCTCAGCCCGCCGTGCAGCCACAACTATCGCGTTATGTGCTCGGGCCTCGCTCTCAAGAACATAATATCTTCCCTTGCTGTGAACATCAAAGAGAGCAGGTGTAGGCTAAAAGGTGTCCACAATGGACCTTTTATTAAACAACAAGTTATAAGTAAAATTATGGGGTTCACTACTAAAGATCTTATGACATTTTATAACATTGAAATCAAGGTATTGCGTGGGTAGGATGGGGTCATAAGGCCAAGGTGAAACACCCAGCTCCCTTGCTAAGCGTGTGGCATAAATTCC